TCAGACATTGATCTTCAGCTTCAAGTAATCTCACTGCACCTAGTGAGCTGCAGGTGAGGAATCCTAGGATAGCCTGGAGCTCTGCGAGAAACTGCACCAGTTCCAGGGCCATTGGAGTTATTCCCTCCTTGCTCAGTGAAGATCCAGAGCAATTGGGCTTGAACAAATATGAAAGATCAGAGCAAAGGATCCATTCACGATCTCATGACTCCAGTTGAACTAAACATATAAAAGTGGCAAAGGATAAATCATGAAAAAAAGAAATCAACCTTCCACTTCTGACCCTTTAAGATGCTTCCCAAATACTGGAAGATTGAAGCTCTTCCAGGAAGCCTGAAACCTAGAATTGCATTATTTCTATGAGTAAATAAAACTACTGGTTTGTTTTTCTGATCTCCCCTTTTTTGTATGCTACAAATATCAGCTTTACCAGCAAATATACACTTTTTGCTGTCAGCTTCTCAAATTAAATCTATGAATAATAGAATATTAAATGGAAACTTTAAAAACACTGTAATGAATTGTTATAATTTTATAGATGCCTTGGCAACGATTTTGAATCTAAGCTTAACCTTCTTATACCAGAAAGGTCTCAGTAACTCTGACATGATTTACATTTGACCCTACCCCCAGTTCCTTAATGTAGTTGATCCAGACAGTTTCCTGTGTAACTGCTCCCTGGTGGCCACTTGCCTATGGGAGAGCTAGATGCCAGCCTACTTGACTGGTCACACTGATGCCCACACCTGACAGGGACTGCACAGATATGTCACAGTTGCCATCTCTTGGTCCCAGCATGACCTCCCGGGGCTCATCCCTGCTTGCTTTAACCCCACCAACTAGGACTTCCCATGGGAAACCTGATTGAACAATGTACTAAGCCCAATATCTGTATTTCAGAGTCATCAGCCATGCTTGGAATGAGAAATAACTTTTTTGAAAATTATAATATTTTTAAAAAATTATAAATATGTGTATTGTACAAAGTGTGATACTTAAATAGATTCACACAATGTATAATCAATCAAATCAGGGAAATTAGAATTTCTGTCTTTTTAAATACTGGATACCTCTGCAGTAAGTTCCAGTCCCCTGCCCAGTGTATAATGCAGGGCTGAAGAAAGACTCCAAGACAGAATTAAACAAAACAGTGGGGAGCCAGGATGGCCAGTGCTGAGTATCCAGCAAAGGCCCTGATCAATCCTAGCCACTGATTTTTATTGGTAGTCAAATTGGGGTAAAGAGTAACTAAATGTGAGGACATGAAATTGTGTAGTTGCTATGGATACCAATGCAGGTAAGGCTTGCAAAGAAAAAGACAAAGCATTCTCAAATTAGGAACAGAACAGAGAAAATATAGGGCTGTAATTAGAACTGTCTTTCTAGTTAAGAAGGTTTTAGTCATGGGAATGGAATTTGGGTGTGAGTTACTCTGACCTCAGCACATAGCCTTTGGCACGACTGGCTTCTCAAAACAAGCCAATTGTGGGGTTAACTTACTGCCTGCATTGCTTATAGCCTGTTTTGGGCATAATCAATAAGGTGGCCCCCTACACCTAAATAATTAGCATTTCTTTGTGTTAGAAACTTTCAAACTCTTCTGGTTCTATAAAAATAAATAATAATTGTAGCCACCCTTCTACACTGCAGAACACTAGTACTTATTCCGCCTGTCTGACTATGTTTTGGTACCTTTTACTCTACCTTCCTTTATCTCCCTCCTCATACCCTTCCTAGTCTCTTGTGACTGCTATTCTCTCTACTCCTATAAAATCAGATCTTTATAGCTTCCATATATAATAAGTAAGAACATGTAGTATTTGTCTTTCTGTGCCTGGCTTAGGGAAGAAATATTGCTATCATCTATCTATCTATCATCTATCTATCTATCCATCTCTTTTCCTTCCCATCTCCTCAAAGTCTATGTTCCTGTTTCCCAATATCTTTTGTCATTTTTCCTTTTTGTTGTTTGGTACTGGAGATTGGACCCAGGGACTCATGCAGTTAGGCAGGCATTCTTCCATTGACCTACGTTCTCAGCCCCTGTCTCTTATTTTGCTCTTTAAATTACTTATTTTGGCTGTTTCTTATATAAGCAAAATGTGAATGAATTACTTTAGACTGGGGCTTGGGAGCAAATATTTTTTTAAAAGCCTCAAAATGATTCTGATTAAAAGTTAGGTTTGATAATTCCTGCACTAGTGGGATCATCTAGAGGACACATTTATTCACTGCTGCTCATCTTGGCATTCATACTGCCTAACACATGGCATCTGAGAAATATTAGTGGGATGAGTGAAACAGAATAAAAGCTAAGGGATCTCTTCTAAACTACGATCTGTCATCTTGCTGCCAGCCCCTCTGTTTGCCGATCTACCTGGATGCACATGTGGATGCATTTATTTAACTAGGTCCCATAGCAGTTAATATAGGATCTTGCCTGTACAATTGGGGCCTATGCTTGGGGGTGGCTTTCTCTAAGTTCTTATTCTCCTTTAGTGCATAAGGCCAAATAAAGCAATGCTCTCTAGGTGTGGCACCATAATCCCAGAACAGAATCTCTGTCCAATGTCCTTCATGGAAGCACAAATAGATGCCTCTAGATACTCAAGTCTCACGTCTACCAGGTCATCCCAGGGCCTGTTCCACGGAGATGGGCCTTTTCTAAAAGCCTGGGCAGTGGACTGCTCCCATTGCCAACTGTATTTCTTTCTGAGATCATGTGAAATTGGACCTCCAGAATGGTTCTGATAGACCAGGTTTTAGTCACTCAAATTCTTTACATGAACATGGTTCACACACACAAAATATTTGCCTGGACTTGGTATACCCATAGGGTATCTCTGCCTCTGGAATATTGATATTTAATTTTCTTGGAGATGAAATTTGTGGGCATTCCTTCACTAAGAAGATTTCTCATCAGAAAAACTTATTTCCTGGAGAAATGATCCAAGAAGATTTATGAAACCAAATCAGTTAAAGCAGTTGACTACCTTATCTAGAAGGGCATTTTTATTTAGAAAAGTATTTCTTTCAGAATTCTTGTAAATGTGCCATGAGAAAATCTCTAAGTATCTGTAAAGGACCACAAAATTTTAAAAGTAGACATTAAAAGAAGTCTTCTCCATTATTTTTCTTGTCTTCTCAATGAAAACCTAATAAATTTAAAAAATGTCAAGGAGGGTGGAAATCATAACCTTTTAGAAAGTCAGAAGACTAATCTTTCTTGGGAAATTTATCTTTGTTCATAATTTTTATATGTATTAAATGTTGAAATAAGATTTTGAATAGGTTTAAATTAAATCAAAAGTATTATCAAGGTTAATTTCACCTGCTTCTTTCAACTTTTTGAACGTGGCTATTAGAAAATATCAAACTGTGTAGTTTGTATTTATGCTACACCTTTTCTTTCTTTTGAACAGCACTGTAAATTATCAAAAATATTCATGACCTTAAAATATCAAGAGCTATGAACACAGTCACTGAAGCTTCCTTAAAATTGACCAAAATCTTTGATTCAGGCAAAACAAAGATAGCAATGGGTCAGAGGGATAAAAGGAGTAGAGCAACTTAGAATTAAGTGGAAAAGAGCAAAGAATGGGAGAGAGTGCATGGGTTACTTATACAGAAAGGGAAGCTTTGGAGAGAGCAATTCCAGAGACACTGGTCCAACCAAGAATAAGAGGAATGCTTCACACACAGAAAAGTAATGGAATGCATCTACCCTGACAAGTAAGCCTGCTTGCCTCCACCTTGGACTGAAGTTTGAACACCTCATTCTTCTTTCAAATTCTCATATTCTTGATTCTGGCTGATTTCTAGGTTATGGTGCAAAATCTGGACTGAACTTAATTGAGGAGGCAGTCATCGTTCAAAATTAACCTGCGAGAGACTCCAGTTGTCTGGGCAGTGGACTGCTCCCATTGCCAACTGTGTTTCTTCCTGAGATCATGTTGTAGTATTTGAGGCACTCATTGCACACATTCTCTTGGTTTTTAGTCAGGCTTCTGAGATGCAAACTCTTTTTCAAAGAACAATATGGAAGGAGTTTTACGGAGAGAGAGTGATACATCCAGGGGCATCACACTCCAGATAAATTCTCAGGGAGATTAAAATAATTTTAATGCAAAATGTTTAGAAGGAATAAAATTTGTGTTATATGCCCTACTCAAAGTGCTTTTGCCTTTCGGCCATCTGGCCTGACACCTTCGGAATCCTGGCATCAGCTACTGAAGTGATCTCCTCTGAGGAAGCAGAAAGATGCTCTTGGGAGTGGGGAGAACAGCTATTGATGGCACTTGTAGTCTCACTTCTACTAGACTCTGACTTTCTGACTTTCCTTTCAGTCTGTGGGACTGTATCTAGTGACTCCTCACATCAAAACAGAAAACAGAAAACATTAGTTTGCAAGACTTACATTCTTATTCTCATTTCAAGCTAAACTCTATTATTTCTGATAGTTTTTTAAGACTTGGTTTTATATATTTTTTCTAGTTTATTCTTACGCAGATATATTTGTCAAGTTAGGAGGAGATGACGTATCTCACGTAGCAATCTGTTAGCTTGATTTAAAACTCTGACATAGCGGGGCCGCGCACGCCCGCCTGCGGCCTGCGTCACAAACCGTACGCGCGCCCCGGCCGCC